CAGCAAGCTTCTTATTGGTCTAAAAGAGTTTTATAATATACCTTTGCTTCATCTCTATATTAAGATTATATTGATAAGTATATTAAGCAATTCGTGGTGTGGTCTGTACACTAAACATGACCATCGAGATTATTAACTTTTTCTTTTCCACCTCGGTTGTGAATAGTAATAGTCTACGATACGTATGGTGTTTTGAGTTGTCTTTCACTCGTATTTGTTTAGGATGTGAAGAACAGTCCAGGGTTACTAGTAAGGTGTGGAATTCTCTGAAACTGGTATAACGAGGGTTGACATTTTCCCGATAGTAAATTAAGGTACTTGGTTTTATGAATCAAAGAAAGCAATGGTTTCTAACTACACAGACTAGTAAAATACTTGTAGACATGTTTAGGATGTGAAGAACAGTCCAAGGTTACTAGTAAGGTGTGGAATTCCCTGAAACTGGTATAACGAGGGTTGACGTTAAAACCGATAGTAAATTAAGGTACTTGGTTTTATGAATCAAAGAAAGCAATGGTTTCTAATTACACAGACACAGACTAGTAAAATATTTGTAGACATGTTTAAGGACCATTAGAAGTACACAGAATGTAATTAGTTATGAAAGTGTGAATTTTTGATAAGTATTTATTTAAAAACAATCTTATATTCACTAGTTGTCTTTGTATCTTGGTGGTGGTGTTTGGCGATGAAAAGAACCGTCATCACAGAATTCTAATGTTGATAAAACATAATATTTAAAGGATTTATGAGACTTAATAAATGGTACTCTGATAATAGCCACTATTAGAAACTGTATTTGTGCCAGCATAGTGAGTCTATAATAAATAGACTACAAACTTATCTGGCATTCTCTACTGTTACAACCAGTTTGGTTAGACATCCTTTACACACAACTCAATTTAATAACTGCATGATAAACATTAAAACGTATTAGCTTTCACTAGTTAACAAAACTGATACTATTATCACTCAGCAGAGACTTGTATGGCTTCCCATTCCATAATTCAGCTCACCCCAAAGGTATGTGAACTACCTTTACTAATCCCAAAAACTGATGGTGAGGGGGGTTTAACAACATATAGACATTAACAAAGAATTTAAGGTTCTTTTCATCGCCAAACACCACCACCAAGATACAAAGACAACTAGTGAATATAAGATTGTTTTTAAATAAATACTTATCAAAAATTCACACTTTCATAACTAATTACATTCTGTATACTTCTAATGGTCCATAAACATGTCTACAAATATTTTACTAGTCTGTAAACTTAATCATCAGTACCGGGTAATATTGTCTTACCTACAAGTTAGCACTCCCATTAGATGAAGGGGCAAATTAAAATATTTCTGTTGAATGTTATGTATTACATTTAGAAATGGACTTAACCGTAAAACCTGAAGCCTAACTACACTCACCTTCTGACATCTCCACCCGACAGAATCTGATATTTTGTGTATTGATATATGCATACTGTATTAAAACTATAACAAAATGGTTAGGAGAGAGACAAGAAGATATACTGGTTGGAGCATGCATGGAACAATGATTAATTCATGAACAAAACTTTATTTAAATTACTGGCTACATTACAACAGTTATGAAAAACCTTAAAATATCGCCTACAGACCCGTCGTGTAATAAAACTGTAGCTCTGTTGATAACTGATCAACTTACAACTTTTTGAGATGTGATACGATAATTATAATTTCTTTCTGTACCGTTTAATGAATTCAGCACCATTGTGTCAGGAAGTAATTATTATCATATTTTATTCACTACAGTACATTACATATTTATTTTGAAACTTAAGTTGTAGGAAGATCCGTTTTCTATACTTGTTTATTTACTGTTCTATGTTTTAAATAGTAATAACATATATACAATGTTATTTATGATAATTGAAAGTACGAAGCCAAGACAGGTCAATTTTGTACTATTGGACATGGTAACATGAGTGCACGTGCACCACATCTGTAGTCATTGTTGACCAAACCCTTACAGAGATAAAAATGTTTCATAATTACTTGGAGGTTAGTAGAAATGTTAAGACAATTTTCTGATGCATAAAAGTGTTTTAATCTTAAAATCAAAATCACTGTACATGTTAGTCAACATTTGGAAAAAAAAGAGCAAACGATATTTTATGGTTACGAACTTTGTACTCATTTTGTCACAAGATAGTTTTATATATACACACACACATGAGATAACAAAAATTACTATATTAATAAAACTATAATTTATCATACTTAGTAACTAAGTTGTATTTGGGTGGGACCACCTTGGTTGATTCAATAAATAGGAGGTTCTTATCTTATATTCTAGCTTGTAAGTATCGGTAATTTGAACTCTACGTACCATGTGACACACAAAAATTGATATTTAGGTATTTTGTTTTAATATTTAACTTAAGAAATCAACTAATGGATAATATTAAAATGTTATACCAAACTTATTGGCATATACATTCATAAAATAGTAAACATTTTGAATGGAAGTTTACTTTAGTGACAGTAAAATAATTTTTTTAGTCTTATCCAGAAATCAGTTTACTATTGCTAGATGAGTTTCCACTTCATGTTGTTGAAGGAAGTCGTTAAATGTTCTAGTAGTAGGTTTACATTAATTGGTGTTTAAGTGTGGTTGAAACAATAAATAGGACACCTTTGGTAGTTGAACATAAGTGTACGGTTTATTTCTAAATATAACATGTCTACTATTTGTATAAAATTGGAGTTTTAAAAATTGGGAAAAGAAATTTCATTTGCTATACATGAAAATCTATATAGGAATAAAGTGTATGAAAATTATTTACTTAAAGATGGCTTTCCTGTAATACTTCAGTTCATTGATACTTTCCTTAATGTCTTCCAGCGCTCTGTAATAAAAATAAGTCAACAGCAAGGTCATTTTACTTTACACTTGGAAATCGGGACCACTTTTAAAGTTTACTATGAAACTACCAAAACACGTAGTTCATTTTAACGTGCATAATAAGTGTTTGAAATTTACACTTTTTATCTAAGTTAGTTCGAACTCCAATATTTTAGACAGAGAACAAAAGTCATTTTGTTTAATAAAAAATAAAGGCAGATCTTTCTCCAAATTAGTTTTAGAAAATTACAAGAATTAAAAAATAGGCTCCTCTTTAAATATTAACTACAGTAGTTTTTCTTTATTGAAAAGTTCACCATCTTACCTGTGTGTTGGTTTCTTCTTTGGCCCAATTTTGTAATCTTCTGGATACCACCTTCTGAAGAATTGAAAAAATATTGTTTTGTATATGATACGACTAATTGGATGAAATTCCTAAACGTTTACTCGGAAAATATTATTTGGATGTGTAGGTTGTAATACTTAATATAATGGAGAGGGATATAAAATCCTGAACAACCTATATTAAAACTATTAAAGACAGTTCAGTTCAAGAACTGTAACACATCTTACTGTTTGTTAACTTAGTAGATGATACACACTATATTA